CATTTGCAACAACATGGATGGAGCTAGAGGGTATTATGCTCAGTGAAATAAGCCAGGCAGAGAAAGACAATTACCAAATGATTTCACTCATATGTGGAGTATAAGAACAAAAGAAAACTGAAGGAACAAAACAGCAGCAGAAGCACAGAACCCGAGAATGGACTAATAGTTACCAAAGGGAAAGGGACTGGGGAGGACGGGTGGGAAGGGAGGGAGAAGGGCGGGAAAAAAAGAAAGGGGGCATTACGATTAGCATGTATAATGTGGAGGGGGCACGAGGAGGGCTGTGCAACACAGAGAAGACAAGTAGTGATTTTACAGCATCTTACTATGCTGATGGGCAGTGACTGTGAACTGGGATGTCGGGGGGACTTGGTGAAGGGGTGAGCATAGTAAACATAATGTCCTTCATGTAACTGTGGATTAATGATACCAAAATAAAATTATGAAAAAAAAAAAAAGAAAATCAACTTGCTCCTTAAGATATTCAGTAATTTGATCTGCCTCTGCAGCTTTCTGTTCCAGTCTCTTCAGAACAGCATCACTTGTTGTCATTTTTGCCAAGAAATGGCAAAAAATTATGGGTCTGTGACCATTGCCACCAGGGCAGCCTCAGCAGAGACCAGGCAGGGACAGCATGCTGCACACTAAGGCAGTGAGAAACAACCAATGATGTGTCACCACTAGATGTCCTAGCAGATTCAACTCCAAATTCTGTCTCCCACTTCCTGCATGCAGCCACACCTTGCTCCCCATCATCCATTCTCTCAGCCAATACCACCAACCCCCTTGCACCTCATCCTTGGTCACTACTTACAGTCACCAGGTTGGACAAGGGCGGAATAACTTAAAGACCAGAGAGAACACTGACAGCTAAGGTAGAGAAAACTGTTGGGTGCCTCATAAAATAAGCCAGACACTGTGGGTGAAGAAGCTACTATAAGTTCTTGGACAGGACAATGATAAAATGAAAAAAAGTATTTCAAACATGTTAAATAATGATAAAATGGACTAAGGTTGTTGTAACAGATTGAAAAGGTAGTTATGAGAGAACTGTGGAGGAAGAATCAACTGCACTCGATAATGCTAGGAATAAGCAAAGCAGCCCAATATGGAAACTAATCAAGATCCTACCCTGGATGTGTTTAAGAATGATGACACTCCTAACAGAAGACACCATGCATAGAGGACAAGGGAAGAGTGAAAGGAAGGATTGGTTGAGGATATCATATTGGGTTTCCAGAAATACAGTGGGTCACTCAAGAAACATGGGCAGCTGGACATATACTGTTGGAGTAAATGTAAATGCTCAGAGTTGGAGAAGCAGAGCTAGAAATCATCTGTACAGGTTATAGGGTCAGCCCTGGGAACAAAAGGGCAATAAAAAATGAGGTTTCTACAAAAGAGCAATAAAAAAATGAGGTTTCATTTCTGCTTTTAAACTTTTTATCTTAATACAGAGAGTCCTTGACTTATGATGGTTTGACTTACAATTTTTCTACTTTATAATGGTGTGAAAGTAATAGGCATTCATTAGCCATTTGGACTTTTATCTTTTCCTGGGCTGATGTTACATGGTCTGATACTCTCTCTGTGAGGCTCCCCATCAGATAAGTGAACACAAGAGTAAACAACCCATACATTTACATCTGCTCTGTACTGATATAGCCATTTTGCTTTTCACTGTCAGTTCAATATTCAATAAACTATCTTAATTCATTTGTGCTTTCCTTAGGTATGGAAAAGAGAAAGAAGTTCAATGTAAGAAATTCTATTTGGAAGATAAGCCCATTTCCAAGCTGCCTTCCCAGTCCTCTAGCTGGGCTGAACTGAGCAAGCCTGGAGGTTGGAGTCTTACACAGCAACACCTAACCAGGTATAACCCCAGTGGTTCTAGATTAAGGAACAGATGGTAATACCAAGGGAGTAAAGCAGAATGATAATAACATAGAGAACAAATATGTGTAGGAGTTTGGCAGCTCCTGAAAGTGACACAGATTACTTGCTTAACTCACTGACAAAGATTCAATTGTTATTTTTTCAATAATGAGTATTAAGGAGTCAGTTATTTAATTCTCAGTGATGTAAGAGTATATTTACATGAAACCTACAGGGTATTGAGGGTGTTCCATTTATAGGAATCAATCATAAGGAACTAATCAGAAATGTTTAAAATTTTTAAGTGAAGTAACAGTAATACACAGAGGCCCTTGAAAATAGAGTCTATGTTTCATTGATCTTAGATTCCCCATTACCTACATGAGGACAGACACATAATAGGTGGACAGTACACGTTTGTTGTGCTGATACAGATCATGTGTATGAGGCTTTCACTCCCTCTATTTCTGGGTAGGACTCTTGTTCCTCAAGAGAGATACAGTCAGTCAATTTAGATGGTGTAACTGATAGTGTATTTCTAAGGTAAATCAAGAATGTATGGGGATTAACACTATCTTCTTCAGCTATACATGATATATTTATTCACAGGTACCAAGGAAAGGTACTTTCCAAAGATGTATTCAGCAAAGATTCAAACATTTTGACATTTTATATAGTGCCACAAAACATTATCAGATTACTATGGAAGTGCATTAAGTTATGTTTAAATGCTATTAATTAAACAATAGAAGTGAAAAACCCTATTCATAATTTTAAAAGTTACTCCTCTCTCAATGTTTACCTGAGGTTCTGAGTTTGTAACATGAATTACAGTTTGCTGTCATTTTTGATAATTAGTAGAACTATCAAATCTCGTCACAGATCAAAATCGATTAATTTAAAAATGGTTAGGCAAATAGCTAAAGTAAAACTAAATTCCAAAAATTCACTTTTTTCTCTTATATCAGTAAATCTCTAAGTTAGTAGAATGATTATGAAGCCTGTATCTTTGATTCTTGAGCTAAAAAAAAAAAAGAAATAATACTCTTCATTTACCTGTGTCTTGTAAAAAGTCGTAAAATCTTTTTGTGAGATGCATTTACCTCTATGGACAGAAGTTTCAATTAAGCTTTAGAGGAATTACAGAATTATAGATAGTATACCATTTAGAGTCTCTTACCTGAGTAAAGAAGGGTAGAAATGTGATATGCAAGAAAACCAATGTAATGGTTCCTTGAAAAAAGGTTTTAAGGAATCTGAAGCAGAATCTTTCATGCCATGCTGAAAAGTCCTAGGGAAATAAAAATACTTATTTTAGAATGTGCAGTAAACATTAACTATGAAGACCATCAAAACTTTTTATTTTTACTTAGTATTCAAAGTTAATGATTTTATACAAAATGGTACTACACTAATATAGGTAATGCCCCAACTTTATTCACTTGGGATTTATGTTAATAGGTGACTCACAGGCCTCTTTATAGTTAGGGATCCTTACACTTGGAAAGGTATGACAATACCATTATCATTTAATTTTTAACAACTCCCATTACAAAACTTGTCAAAAAAGTGTATAATGAATAGTACTTATGCCTCTCTCCTCAATCTCCTCAAAGGATCCAATAAATGTTATTACTGTCATATTTGCTTCATTAATATAAAAACATAAATATAAAAAATATAAAAATAAATATGAAGGGACCTCTTTTTACTCTTTAAAGTGATTTATAAATACTAAACAGTTAATGAGAACTTATAATTAATTTTGTATACCACTAAGGGCCTAAAGAGGGCCTGCAAAAAATAATTTAACTGTAAAATATATGACAATGGTTTCAAAATTAGAACAATTTAGCCAGAATACCTGGTCTACAATTTTCTTTGGCAAAATGACTACCATTTTTCCAGGTTAACCGAAACTCAACAATAAATCTTGAGGGAATAAGAACGGACTCGTTACATAAAATCTTTAGTAGATAGCTTGGCTACTAAAATTTTTATAATAACAGACTATATTAGCCTGCAGGGAGTTCACAGGGACAACTGGGAACATTTTAGAAATAGAATTTTTTAAAGTGGTACTATCTCTCTGTATAGTACACAAGCAATAACATCTTTTAAATAATATGTACAACTGATTTCCATTCTGAAAACTCAACCCTGTCTTTTCATTCCACATCCTGCTCCTTGTATCCTCAGATTTTCCAAATTTGATCTACCTTGCCCCAGTTTGTCTTGCAAAGCAGAACACCTCTAATTAAATACATTCAGCATTTTTTAGACTTTAAATATATCTTTTCTTTGAAAGCCATTTTTTTTTTTTACTCACTAAATTTCGAATAGAATTCAATTCCTTAAATAGGTTTCAAAAGGAGGCTTTCATAATCCATTTCATATATTCCGCTGTATAAAGCACAGAGGTAGGCAGAAGCTAGGTCAGGATACCAGCACATGCTTTTCTAAGGAGTCTGGACTTTGAACCAGCAAAGAGGAATCACTGAAGAGTTTAGAGCATAGGAATTATATCAGCTATATGACATTTTAGCAAAAGCATTTGTGCACTAGTGAGGAGAGCTGATTGAAGCATAGAGCCCTAGTGATCAGGGCTGGAGAAAGGGAGGAAATGAAGGTGGTATTTCCACAGACAAGGGAGAAGAGGACAAGGTCGTACAACAAAGGAAGAAGCAGAAGAAATAGTGACTAGGGGGCAATATAAAAAGTGTAAAATTAATAGAATTAATAATACTCTTTCCTTAATGATATGGAGCTGGAGATGGCATGAGGCGGAAGGGAGAAGGGGGTTAAGGGAAAAGGAAAAGTCTGGGATGATTTGCAGGTATTTTACTTAGTTTTAGATATGTTGAGAGAGCTGCAGATGATTGAAGTACATTCAAAGAGAGAGATCCGACAAAAACTTGGATTTACTGATCTAGTGTGTACAAGAGACACCTGTGTTGAAGATACTGAAGTTGAAGTCATTAGAATAATGGTGAAGCCATGGGAATGGGTGAATTTACCCAATGAAAGAACATAAGAAGAGAAAACGGTCAAGGACAGAACAGTGGAACACACCAAAACTTAAAGGGTGAGGTGAGAAAATAATCAGAGAAGTAGGCAAAGAGCCAGGAGAAAGTGATGTTAAGGAAGCCACAGGAAGAGAAATGGCCAATGATGTCAAAAGCTAAAGAGAGGGTCAAATATTGGGAGTTGGCAATTGGGTATGCATGGATGAACTGGCCCATGTTGTTTGTTTAGCCGGATGAGGGCAGTTGCAGGGCATTTAGCGAATGGTAGGGGTAAAGGTGGAGAGAGGGTGTTCAAACTATAGTTTAGAAGGGAAACACAGTAATAAAGAAGGAATTAAAAAAATAAAATAAACAAACAAGAGAGTCTTGGGGAAAAGAACCAGAAGATAGACTATTTAAAAGACTAAGGCCATGAAGTAAGAGATAAATATTATCAAGAGCTCAGGTGAAAGGATTTGCTTTGGTTCAGAAGAGACACATTGATCACCAATCAAAGCATACAGAGGTGAGTAGGGATTCAGACAATTACTAAGAATGGAGTTGAGCAGTTAACATACATTTATGACAGTTGGGTTTTCTCAGAAAAGTACAGAAATTGGGCCATCTGTCAACAAATAGTGGGATGGGACAAAGTGGAGGGTTTGGCCAAAGAGGAAAAGGATGAAAGAGGGAGCTCTCCACAAAGACAGGACAAAGAGTGGAATTGTCAAATGACACCAAAGGACAGCTGAGTGATTTTCACCAGCAATGTTCCGAAGTGTGGACAGAGAGGACAAGAAAGTGAAGGTACAGAAGAGAGACATGCACTAGCAAGGGAGCTAGTTAGAGGAGGGTGCTGGTACAGTGTGAGAGGAGATACAGCAAGGGGCTGGAAAGGCACCCTCAAAGCAAGTGACAGACTGAGGGAAAAAGATGGGACAGAGATGATGGGCTTGATGAGGGGTGTTGGGTATCATAGCCTCTGCTTACTTTTCTACCTATCTCTTTGAGCCTTTTGCATAAATCCCCATTTGTCCAATTATCTGGCAGGCACTTCACTTCTCCAAGAATAAATACCTTACCCAGAGTGCCCTGTCATGTTCAGCTAGCTCCACAGATTGTTCTACCTCAAAAGCTTGTCTAACAAGTCTTCCCTGACCACTCTGTCTAAAATAGATCCTTTCTCACCACCTCATCCCTCCCTATGCTCTTATTCTGCTTTGCTGCTTCTTAGGACTTAACTTTACCTCTGATGGTTTTACGTTTACCTTTTACTGTCTGTCCCATACCCAGAGGCAGGGTCACTGAAGATTGTTTAGAGGCAGTGCATGGCCATGTGCAGGAGCTCTAGAGCCACACTGGGTTTGTATCTTGGGTGGCCTTTTGTTGCATGTGTAATGTTGTTTGGCAATTTATTTAGCTTCAGTTTTCTCATTTGTACAGGGAGGAAATAATAATAATCACTTCACGGGGTCAGTGGTATGATTGTAATAATGCATATAAAGGACTTAGCAAATTGCCTAGTACATAATTAGGGCTCAACAGATGTAAGGTATTATCACTATATCAAGAGTTAAAAATAGTTCTTGAGACAGTCTGCAACTATCTCAAAACTGACAAGGAATTCCTAATTGTCTAAATGATTGCCTAATTACAGCTTATCCTGAATATTACAAAATATAATGGAGGATATAATAATAATGCAATGGCTATTTGGTGCCAAAACTTCTTAGACTAAAATCAACTGCCAATATAATACTTACAAGAACATTTTTGCCAGTACCTAAACTCTTTTCTTCTGCTGATGGTTTTTCAGTTGTACTGGTAGCAGTAAGGTTATTTGGCTATAAGAAATGTTATGGCAGATGTTCATGGTCTCAGAGGGGGTGAGATCTGTATGAGTATTTAATTCCACAGCAAGATCCCAAATTAGTTTCATTATTCTGGAGAGTATAACAGGGTGAAAATTGGCCCACAAGACTCAATGGGGGAATGAAATGATGAGCTGGCTATTAGATAACCTCTAATGATGCTTTGGTATATAGTTAAAAGAGAGCATGCTCTCAATAATTCATAGTGGAGAGTAAAATACAATCCTATGAGCCACAGAATTATATTTTCCACAGACACAAGAGAATTTTGATAGTGAATTTAAGTACTCCTTTAAAATAAGTTACTGTCCATAAGTTGAGGCAGAATACATTTCTTCACATTTCCAAATTAGCAGACTGTAACAATGGCTTTGCTTAAAGAGGAAAAATGAATTTGGAGAAATTCCTTGCCTTGTCCTTCCTCCAACATCAACTCAGCCATGGTCCTTCCCTCCCACTAACGTCGTACTGACTCTGGAATGATCCCAGCACATCACTTGTGCACTTGTGCACTCTACTCCACATTTGGTCTCATGGTTCTCTGGTCTAAAATTATGTTGCCTTACTTCCTTTTTTCATTAACAAAACTGACCTCCTGGGCTTATGGAGCTGGCATAAATCCAGTGCACATTAGAGGTGAGAACACCTGGTTAGCTAAGAAGACTAAACTGGGTTTATGCTTCTCTGGTGCCCTATGGCTTTGGCTATCCTCCCAGGAGAACTGTGTCTCAAAATATGTAGCTAATAGAATAAATCTCCAGGATGGACGAGGCAGCCCAAGGATATAAGTTCCATAGAGCACAGGGGGCAGGTCAGAGGTATCATTTGTGCCTATTACAGTGCCTAAGGCATTGAAGGAGCTCAGTAAATAAAAATACCAAGAGAAGACAACCAGAACTCCAGAAAAAAATAGAGTTAGTTTGAAACTGAACTACTGAGCCAGCACTGAAATACTTGAGATAACTGAGTACCTGTGATGGTGCCCAAATCACAGACAACTAACCATCAATATGTAGACATAACTGAATTCAATACACTTTCCAATTTTAAACATCATTCAAAGTTTCTGCTTTGCTTTCATAAACTAGCATTACCTCTGGGACTATAAGTAGTTGCCTAAATGTCATTAAGTGAAAGAAATCAGGGTGACACTTAGAGTAAGATATGGTTCTCCACATTTCTCCTGCCCCATGGCTTGTGTCTCTCATGACGAAAAGAACACTTTGAGGTTAGAAAATGATGATGTGAAGTGAGAGAATCACTAGCACAATGCTTGGCCTATTATAGGCACATAGTAAATACTGGAGAAAGCAGAAAAAAACTGAATAGAAGGTATTTCCGGACCCTACTTAGTAGAAAGGAAGGTGGATTTTGGGGGCCACCTGTGAAGAGTAGTATTGGATGGTATACAGCCAAAGGGTAGGCTGAAACAGCACATAAGGTAGAGAGAGAGAATAAGACTTGACCCAAGAGTTTAGGATAGGAATCAGCTATGCAAAGACTCCAAAGTTAATGACTAGCCCTTTACCAGAATTTTATCTTATTAGAAAATAAAAGCTGGGTCTTTTTAATCAAAATGTTCCTCAAAATAATATTTAGAGGGAAGGGAGCAAAGGGAGTCATTTAATCTAAACAAAATGGCTAATAACTAATGTCACTTTCTGGATCATTTTGCATTCTGCCACTTTACAACATATTAAATATTTTAATTTTTATTGTCATTTAGTCTGTATTTATTTTTAATAGCTTTATTGAGATATATAATTCACATACCACAAAATTCACCCATTTTAAATATACAACTAAATGGTTTCTACTATGTTCAGAGTTATGTAACCTGACGAACCAATTTTATAATTTTCATTAGCTTTAAGAGAAACTCTGTACCTACTAGTAGGTACTACGCATTCTGCCCTCCTCTCAGCCCCAGGCAACCACTTATCTATTTCCTCTTACTGCTTTTCCAGAAATTTCTAATAAATTGAATCATACAATATGTACTCTTATGTTTGGTTTTGGTTTTTATCATTTGGCATAAACTTTTTGAGGTTCATCCCTGTTGTAACACCTATCAGTACTCCATTTATTTTTACGGATGAATAATATTCCACTGTACAGATATGCCACATTTTTTTTTATCTATTCACCAGTTGATGGACATTTGGGTTCTTCCCACTTTGTGTTACTATGAAAAATGCTGCTGTGAACACTTGTGTACAAATCTTTGTATGGGCATATGTTTTCTTTTGGGTATCTAGTAAAGAGTAAAGTCACTGGATCATACGATCATATATTCAACATTTTATATACACAAACTCTATGTTTAACATATTGAGGAACTACCTGTTTTCCACAGTGTGCCAGACATTCTTGAGGTGTGAAAACAAAGTTTTAGTCCAACACGTTCTATTTTGTGAGGGATAGTGGAATAGTTTAAAATATATAAACAAACATCCTAAGCCCATAACCTCTAAGTGTCTAGCATTAGTTTGAACCCAAACTATAGACACATGATTGGAACACCTTGGGATTTGGGGATTCAAAAGCCCTACGAGTGCATACCAAGCATACTCCAATAGAGGTCTGCTACTCCTTGGCTTAGTGATCAACACTGCGGCCTATTTCCGATGACTCTAGCCTCTCTGACATGTTGGCATTTGTACCGAAATTCATTCTTCCATGTTAGTGAATGTTGTAACATTGGGGACAGTCAACTTTCAAACAGTTTCTACTTTTAGAAGTTTTTATATGACACATCCACACATTTTGGAGATGTAATACTAACATCACAAATTTTATCAGACTTTCTTAAATTACTTGAGGGCAGCTATTTCATCTTGCTCACTGTGTATCCCTTGTGTTTAATCCTTGAGTTTAATCATAGGGGCTAGGGAGGCAAACTTTGTTGAATTGAAAATAAATTGCATTTACTTAAAATTCTAAGAACTAATTTTTAATTTGCTATATACAAGATAAAACTAACGTTTTAGACAAGCAAAATGCAATATATACACCACTGTCTGAGAATGTGTGTGAATGTGCATTGAGTCTGCTTCTGAATGTGCAGTTTAACTGCCTTTATGAAAGAACTACAAAGTGATAAGCACTTCGGAAAATTCATGGTGAATATTTTATGTTTCAGCAGGCTTCTTTTCCTGGAGGACAAACCTAAGTACTCCTTTTACAGCATTCTAACAGAAATCTACAAAGGAGAGTTAAAAAAGAACACACATTTTTGCAAACAGGTTTCATTCTTCCTAAAAAGATTTTAAAATCATGTATTCCTGCCTTGGGATTTCCTGGTTTTACACTCAACTCAGAAAGGAAAATATATTTAGTTTGTCAGAACTACTCGGAATAAAGACAGTCACCTTCAAAAAAGGCATATCAAATAGAGGGACATATGTCAGGTACAGTTCATAAAAAATTCGATACTATCAACATTGTTACTTTTTATCAATTCCTCAAAGCTTACAGTTTACTTTTTAAATGTGAGACAGAGATTAAACTTTCTTTCTAAAATACTAATAATATGACAACTTCATATCCTAGCTTTGAAAATAAGCTAAATAAGTCAATAGGGCTCTTGCAACACACACATATTTTTTTCCTACTTGGTAAGGAACATGCTGCCCTATGGATTTCCTTCATTAATTCAAAGTAAAACATATTTGAAAGATTTGATCTATATTCTAGAAAAACAATCATAAAATTTAAGTCAACATGAATGAAAGCAATTTGTGAATATTTTTATGAGCTGAAAAATATTAAAAAAGAATTAAGTGTATCTAGACTTTTGTTCATGCTTCAAAGCAATATAGCTATCTGTTTTATACTAAGAAAAACTAGTGTTTAGCACAGAGGCAGTGCTTGGTATAAAATGTTCTGTAATCTTGGTTGAAATTAGCAATTTAAATTTGTCGAATGAGGTTACAATGTAATATCTAAGGCACAAATCACAGAGATTTGAGTACTTGCACAGTTGTTAAAAAATGTATCAAAGGCCATGGGTTAACAATAATGAATGTATGTTACATTATTATTAAAATATGCAATCTTTGATAATAAATTATTTGTTTTACAAATGCATTGGGGGGTTAAAATTTTTCTATTCATCTGTGACAAGCCATGAAATTCAATATTGTTCACCATGACCAATCCGTGAAATTTGTCAACTTCGTTCCTGATTTTCACAGGGCCTTCCTCTTAGATGAAATGACCTATCGAACTAAGAGCATAGCAGTTTTTTCATCTATGGTAAACCAGTTTAGTTTACTAGGATTTATTATGGGCTTCAGACTTTGAGCTTTTTATGATTATGAACCATTATGTATATAATACCAAACTCAGGGGAATTTATCTCACTATTTCTTCCCGTTTCTGAAAGAATGACCCATTTCTAAAATCAGTTTCAAAGATAGGGTTGTTATAAGACACAATCTGTAAACAATGGTTGTGGGAAGTCAAAGAGTGTGAAAAAATTATAGGGAAATTGAAATCAAAGTTGTTAATTACTTGTAGAATTTCTAACACAAAAATATCAAAACTTATTGAAAACCAAGATTTATATATTGCTCTTACCAAAATGTTAAAGAAAGGACTACTTTACCAACTTTATCCTAAGGATTAGGAATTAAGTGTAATTTTTACTACTCAAGAAACTAAAAATACACATTTATATAGTCTTTCAAGATAAAATGACTATTTTGGAGGAGGGTTTAAACAAAATTGTGTTAATGTCTTATTATAAGATCTACCTTAGCCTCTTACATACTACAAATATGAATGAAAGAAAGCAGAAGAGTAGATCAAAATTGTTAATTTCCTTAAATCTCAATTTAGTTAAGTGAAATATTTTAACATTTAAAAACGTAATTGCTTATTCCTGTTTCTACTTGCCATTACTAGCTCAGACACTAAAAGCTAATACTAAAAATATGGATTTATGGCAAATTAACTAACAGTGTGGAACCATTAGGTCTCTTCCAGATTAGGGAATATTTTACAATCACTTAAATTTATTTTTATTACAGCAAATCACTTTATATAAATTAAAAACTAAAAAATATTTTTTAAATGAGCAAAAAGCCATTAGATAAGATTTTCTTTTTCATAGAGTATCAGGCTATGACTGAAATAACAAACCCATTCATATAATTTGATCATTAATCAACTCAGATAGTGAAGATCAAAATGATCCTGATTGTATTAGAGCCTCATCAGCTGAACAGGATTGGCAAATAAAGATATAACACAGGATTAGGATTAAATTGCTTTGAGAATGATGAAACCCTTGTTGGTGTTAGTTTTGTAAAATGGCTCAATTCACAATATCAAAATGCACTTCAAAACGTTTCTACTTCTTACTTCACATAATTCAGTATGTAACATGAAAATAACTTCATTAAGTCACATTATTTCATATATCATAACAGCTAACATATATTTGATACTTACTGATATAATTCAGTTAATGGTGAAGTCAAAATTACTAATGTTGTAAACAGATTATTACAATGGATATGAATTTTAAAAATTTTATCATCTATATACTCATGAGGATTCAAAAGCTTCTGTACTGATGTGCAAATTGACCAGAGCATGTTTTCAGTGCATATTAAAATTGTTGTGATATCAAGTCTATTGGAAAGAAAAAGAAGAAAATCATGTTAAACCAAATTGTTTTTCTGCTTAGTATATACATTATCATTCATATCATCATAGTAAGCATATGTAGTAACAGAAACATTTGGTCAGATACCACAGCTTCAGAGATTAAAGACAGATAGAAAGCATCAAAGATGGCTCTTGAATTTCAAGGTGTTAAATGACCCATAATAACACTATCTTTAGGGATGGTGAGGTTCATAATAATGAAGTATTTTAGGAGAGATTTTTTTAAAAATTTTATTTTGTATTACCAGGACACTGCTCAAGAAGCTTGAGTCTTTCTCTGAAATTACATTCAGTAAAAGAGAAGCCAGACTGAAAGAAAATCTGCCATTATGCACATATATGATAGATAAAAGTGGGATGGTAGAACAATTCTTCTCATCCAAGCACAAGCTGTCAAAGAAAGTTACAAGACTGGGTAACATGCTCTCCCAGCAAATGGAAGATAAGGAAAAAATGATGTGAGCAGCACAAATGGAGAAGCCTATAGTCTCAGAAATTCCCAATATTAAATACATTTGTGGAAAATATGCAATATCATTCATCTTAGTCACAGACTCATTTCTTTGTCTCTATATTTTCTGAGTTTTAATAGGGACCCAAACTCTGTTTAAAGATTACTTTGGTATATGACAAAATTGTGCCAATCTCACTTAATTTCCTATTTTTTTTTTTTTAATCCACTGTTGAAATGGAAGCCGGAAATTTTGAAGTTATAAAAAAATAAGTTTGAGGATCTTTTAAAAATGACATTCTAGGCTATATGTGTAATAAATTTATTATATATAAAATAAATATTATCTATGTAATAAAAATGGAGTTATTATTTGCATAAATAAATAATGTATAATAAAATATATATCAGTACATATTATATATATAAATTATATATATTGTTTTGGTTATATGACAGTTGGAGGCTACTGGAATACTAAAAGAATCAATAACTGCCTTTAGGAAGGTTTAATTGTAGTTTGTAACCACTTTGTCTAATTGTTAATTAAATAACTGTAAAACCAAGATATATGTATATACACACAGACATATGTAATCTGATTTCACAATAACGGTGGGTTAGAATTAACCATTCAGATGAAAATATTTATTTTACTTATAAAAAGTTGGAGAAATAACTCTACCTTGGCATTATATTTTTGTAACTACCCAGAAAATAAAAACCAGAAGTCTCTATAGTATAGCTGATTAATTAAATATACTACCTATTTAATGAACTAATAGTCAATCTGATTTCACAAACATCTCAAAATGACTTGCCACATCATAGTCAAAAGTTGATTCAAGATACATACGAAAAGGAGGAAGGTATTCTTTGCTTGCAAAAGGAATTTTACATTTATTCTTTGCAGTTCAATGTTTTAAATGATGCTTGGTCAGTAATTCAAAACGGCCTGTGCAAAATACCGTATTTATGAAACACTGTAGCAGGACCTAAATGCCCTTCAAATGCAGCATGCTTTACAAGAACATGATCAGGAAATGATTCCTAATGCCGAAAAAAAACAAAAAAGGAAAAGAAAAAAGCCTTTGATGTCTTTAGTTTCCTTCTAAAATATATCTAGAAAAAAAATTTAACACAGATCTTAATCACATTAGTCAAAATATTTATAAATCAAAAACCTTTTCTTTGTATAGGGCATTGTTGTCATGCAATCACATTTTTGTAATAGTCATTGACTAGATAAGTACCTCATAGTGTTGGACTGTATAATTCACTCTTTAATGCCCAGTGACTGCTGCTCCTTGTTTTTAGTGATTTCACATTTTGTTGAACTGGCTTTTAAGTAACACATAATGGAAAGAAAGGTAAAAAATAAAAGAAAAAAGGAAAGAAGTAACTAGAATATACTAAAGAGAAGAATGATTAGACAAAGGAGTTTCCTTAATGAAAATTGTACTATTTTTAAAGACTTAAAAAAACTAAAATCCTCCATTTTCTTAGAATCTGAGTCAAACTGACTGCTCCATCACAGCATTGCTGTTTTTTCTCCATTTCAGGACCTAATTTTCTCTATCTTATTTATTAACCTGCGTGTGTGTGTGTGTGTGTGCTCTAGATTGTCATAGATATTCAATTATTTTTTAGAAACAAGTGGGTTCTGTATATAATTTTAAGGAAAAAAAACAGTTATTTTGATGAAAGTTCCACATTGCCACTTTAGTATCTCAGAAGAACAGTACTTCCTCTCAGATGTTAGAAACATGTCAAATATACAAGGAGGTATTCATGAGATTCAGAATTACATTATGCTTTTTACGAACTGATGAAAGAGTATTCTTGAAAAGCAATTCTTTTCACAACTTCAATTACCTTATCTGTGGAGTTCTTTTATAACTGGGATGGACTCGAGCATATCTGGAGGCCAGTAGATGCAAAGACTTCTCCAGCACTTCTGCTAGAATATCCTGGGCTAACTTAGCAGGCAGAATGGTCCAGAGATCGTGATGAAGAGCCCAGAAGAAATAATGCCACATCTGGAGTGAGAAGGAGCATCTTTCCCCCTGGCAAAACCACCACACATTAAACAATAGAATCCACATCTTCCAAAATGTCAGTTTGCTTCCTGAACCTAATTAGTTCAGGCTGAAAGGAAATAGCTGGAAAGTTTGACACACTAGATGACCAGGAAAGATTTTTGACAAGATGTAAAACATTCTTATTGACAAAAGAATGTATGTTTTATTTCAATTACGAGACCAGATATTCTAGTGCAAATCCAGACCACAAGCATTTAATTAGCATACCCTTCTTTTACCTACTCCTGGCCTAGAGTTTAAAATTTACTTTTAAACGATCAGCTTTATAGTTGCTAAAGAAGTCATGCTACTTTAAGACAGTAGGCTGATTCTTCTAAAATTAAATTTTAATTATTTAATTTGTTGAGGTATGTATATATTGTCTGAGACTATTAGCATGATTAAGATCATTTTATAAATGTTCCAGATTTCACATTATAATGAAATGACTGGGGCAAAAATACACTTACATACTGTATACTTACCAACATGCATGAAACCAAGGGGGATGGGTAATTCTATCCACTGAAGACCGAAGATTATTACTAGATTATTTTGTCTATGGAGTTTCAATAAAAATACTAGAAACAGAACTACAATAATCTGACTGCAAGATTTTATAAAGCCTAAGGCAGAATTTAACATCATTTTTTAATATTTTTATGGTACTTCATACTTCTAAGGGGCCAGATTCTCATTTTTTCTCACCCCCCTACAGACCTCTTTTGTGTGCCAAATTTTCCCTGACCACAGAGGGAGACCCAGCAGTGGCCAAGGCCAGGGGAAACAGGCAGAAATGTGAAGGTAGCCTAAAGTGATTTACAAGCATTAATTAGTTAACAGGCTCTCAGGGAAGTATGTTAGCAGTTTGACCTCATTTTCTTCAAACCAGATCAAAAGATTATTTAAAACAGGAAGAATAGAATGTGTTCTTAACATTATCCTGATTATGTTACTATATCAAAAGTTAATAGTAAAACTTCCCATTTTATCTCTAAGTAATCCTCTTTGGCTTAAAATTTCTGCTTTACTCATTACTTATATTTCTCAAACGAACATCATCTAAAATAAAATCTGCTGTTTTCTTACACCAAAAGTTGATAATTTCTTGTATAGACAGTCCTATTAGTTTTTTCTTACATATTATTCTTCTGGTAATTTCTTTAATAACTAAAATCTTTTGTAGTCATTTTAATAATAACATAATTATTATCTATTGACTTTCAGGTGGAGCTTATAAATGAGTAGAATTGTTATCCTTGGGTGGGAAACTTTGGCATCAAAATGTCACAGAGTCAAGTTCAAACTGAAGGGGATTTTGACCATTTCTGACTTTCAGATTAGATATGTATAAAACTGTTTAAGAAAACAAATAACAAAATTAACACAGAAGTGGCAAAATTACAGGTTTTTATAGTTTCTTTGTTGTGTTTCGTGATAAAGAATGCTTTTTAAATTCCCTAAGGAACCAAAGGAGTTTTAAAGTTTGATTTGTTCATACTTACTGTGTTGCATGCTGATTAAAGTGAAACTGAACCAGCTGCATAGGACCAGTATGAATGATTGACACTAACTTTCTCCATGGCAATGCATGGATGCTTATAACAATGTGGCCAACATGATTTCTCATATTTTTTCAAAACAAAATTTCCTTAATTGCTACCTTTTGGCAATAAATAAAGAAATAAAAATAACTTTAGGCACACAGATTTCTTCTCCTAAAAGAGAAACATACTGATTTTTAAGACTTTTTAAAATACAAACTTCATGTTTACTTAAAAAGCATTCCAAACAGGTCATCATTCTCACAATTCTCTTCAGAATGTGTATAAGTTGAATGTATGCAAGGTTTTTCATTAAATGAAAAGTGATTCATTTATTTTTCTGACCTGTTTCTCTATTTGTTGTCATTTCAAAAGTATTCTGCTAGTAAACATCTGTTATTTTTGTAGACCCACTATAATATAAACAGATGTACACTTTTATTTAGATTATGTATCAGGAAACGAGCAGCTGGGCTTTATTATATAAGCCATTCAATATTATCTTTGAACAGAAAATTCTTTATTCTTGGAAAACACAAGTTGGTAAAATTGAGCAGATGTCAACTATACTAAAAACTTAATTTTAAACATGTAATCTGAACACCCATCGTGCCATCTGACCAACACCTCATCAGAGAGATACTGAACTCTGACTCTCTCAATCTGACAGTTGAGAAAATGGAAAGAATGTATCTAGGTAGGGCTCAGTTGATATCACAAAACATGAGCAAATATTGCTCCATATCTTGTAAATTCTTTCACTATTTCTTTACTATATTCTGTACAAGGTGATAGGCTCCCGAGGTCTCTGTCTTACCCTTTGCCTCCAGTCAGATGGATTTCATCTCCTTTCCTCTCAAAACAGTCCTGCCAAAAACATACGGTCCTGTTCACAAATCAGTTGGAATAATGGGGAGAGGAGGAGAAAGGGGGGTAGTTCATGATAAAACCATGTCAGGTACTCCAGTTGTCGAACAGTTTAAAATCTGTGCTATTTTAAGAAGGTTCTTATTTTTGGTAAACAGAAAAGCAGTATCATTTTATGTTTCTGAGCATAAATAACAACCACACACTCTGCAATTAAATTGTAACTACTGACCATGTAAGTATATGGAAGCTACCGTACCATGTAATCACAGGGTAACTATCTCATTATTTCTGTCTTTGAAGCTAAAGCCTTGTCATAAGATCTAAGAGCTGCATGTTACATGGTAATTTGTTTTTTTTTAAATACTTGGTAACTTCAATAACAGGTTCTCAATGCATCCACTTATTATTTATACTGTACAACTCGCCTAGCTCCCAATTTGCATAACAGGAAACATAATACTCCTATGTTGAACATATAGTGAAATGATTCCTGTTTTTCAATGAAAACATCATATAAAATCGCTCATTAGTACACTGACATACTGAAATAGTTTGAAACATGAGATGGACTCATTTTCAACCTCTCTGTTTACCTCAAGGCAAATAAGGAAGCTGTGATGCTGCCAGGAGAGAATCCAATACTTGCATTCTTATCTCAGGCTCCCAGCTGCACCATGCCACTTCCTCGTTCTCATTCTACTCACTGCTTTTTGAAGTATGTCAGGTTTGGTAAACCTTATAGGGATGCTCTTACAAAATGACAAACTATCTGGGAAGGGCCTCTAAATGAGAAATGAAATGGCCTCAGAAAAAGTGCAAAGTCCTTTAAAAAAGCTTCTTGGTTACTCCTTTCTGTTGTGGCAACATCTATTATGTTAGTAACTCAGGCATAAATGACACCACAGGAACCTTTAGTATCAGGGAGGTGACAAAGAGTGACTCCATTGAATAAAACTCTACTGTTTTTCTCAATACTCTATAATGATTAGGAAAATAAAGAAAAACAAAAATCCTAAGCTTCAATCCAGAGGAAAGCGTAGACTGGAAAAGCTATGAAGCCAGCATGACTGATGAATTTTTTGTGTGTGTGGTCAATTTTAATTTTATTGGTTTGCTTATATTTAATTTGTATATTTATTTATTTATTTATTTATTTATTTATTTATTTATTTATTTATTTTTTAGTGAGCTCCCTTCTCCTCCCCATCTGCTAGGTTCCAGTTCAGTTCCCACTCCAGCACCCTTTGGTTTCCCGTTTATCTGCACACTTATTGTTCTTACTGTTTTCCTGTGGAGGGTTCACAGACAACTAATTAATTTTTTTTAACCCTGATTATCTTTTATTAAGATATTATAAATGTCTCACCCTGCCCTGGAATCAACTTCAAGGAATTTCAAATATTGTGATTTATGTATAATCCATAGGATTTAGGGAAAGGCAAACTAGTGAAGCCTGATGATGAATAATTTTCATCGATCTCAGGTTTGGTTGTCCTGGGAATCACTTGGCTTTAATTCAGTAGATGTTTGGGATTTCAAACATGGGCTAAGTGAAAATAGGTAAGCTATAAATAATCAGATGGGTCTTACAGCAACCTAAGAAGAACATACATGCGAAGAAAGAAATAAGTACAAAGAATAAGCTGATTAATAAAAGATATTTATCATAAATAGAGAAATACATAAACAGAAAATGTAAGGTTACCTGTAATTCACCCCACTGGGGAAAAAACAAGGTTTGTAGTGTTTTGGCATTGTTGTTTCTTTCGGTTGTCATTGTATTCTATTCTATTCCAACTTATTATATAGCACTGAAACATTGCAGCTCAAATTAAGTTATTTTTACTTTTAAGCAGAAGGAGAGTTCTGATGTCTAATTATTTCAGGTTTTTAAAAACTGTTTTTCCTAAGTACAAATTCAATATTTTAAAAATATTATCCTAACAGCCTTCATGTGTAAGTAATGCCAAGCTCATGTTTCTAATTAGCCAGAAAACAGGTAGGCAGTAAAACATATTTGTGTAAAAAGGAGGGATAGTAAACTCAACTTCACACCTCATAGAAAGCTTTGTAGTCATCCCAGTGGTGGCTCTCAGCGTCCTGTAAAATGCATGTAGCACAGACTCTGACGCAATAGTCCGTAACCTGAAACTGTAGAGTGCTGATGAATTCCTGATATCGTTGGACAGGCACCAGGAATATGGGTCTGTTCAGAGGGAATGATCAAAGAGACAGAGATTTAAGGCCTGTGCAGTAGGAGGTAACAATCTCCAGTACTACAAATGGTTTTGATTATTAGATATCAATCATTCATTTCCTCCTAATGCAGAAGTCTGCATCCACATTCACTTTCCAAAAAGAAAAGAAGAGAAAAAAAAAGAGCTGGTCTTTGTTTTGCAAGTCCTTTGAAAATGTACATCTGCTGTTCCATAAATATGCACTTCAACTTGAGACAAACTGCACTGTCAATACATCATTCAAAAATAAAAGTATTCTTTTTAAGCCTATTATTAGAGATCAGTGCATTATTTAGGCATTAGGTTATTCTTATTACAGAGAACAACATGCATTTGTCAGAGCCAACTTTTATAAAGCTATCACATGTCCTACAAACATTTTCTTTTTGTAGACATCAATTATCTTATTAACTGTTTTAAAATATTCTACAGAAAGAAAGTGATTTCTGGCACATCTTGTTTACAAATTCAAGTATGAATCACAACATCGGACTACTTACGAGAATTAAAAGAAGTATCATAGTTATATACTATATCAAGCCACATTTATTTTATCTTCAGCTACACATACTATGCTTTCTTATGTTTTCTCTCCTAACTAAGGGACCACAAAGACTGAATAAGGAGTACAGAACAGATTCTTGGGCTCACATGCACTGGGGACTGTGCTATCTTTAAGAGAGTACAAGGTCCGGCAGAAAGACCACGTCGTATACCTAAGAGACATTTTTTATTCTCTGTCCAGAAAACATAGACTTAGACTACTTATACATGAGAATTAAGGCTGCCAGATATTTTCCTCTCCACTATTAGGGATAGTTTATAACTAAATGGAAGTTCTGAAATTTGTTTACATTGGTCAATAGAATAGATTGAAATGCATTTATGTTCTATATCAGCTCCAAACAGCCTGTTGGCTTAGAAACAAAAAAGAGAAGTGCATATTTCACAACTGTGTATGCATGGGACAAAACCAAGTTTATTTTTCCTTTTCAGTGTAGTCAGCACAATGTGCCTTAGAAAATGAAAAGGATTTGTTTGGTCATGTAACAGCAGACAGAAAAGTGTTGCTCCCAGTTACGGTATGGAAGAGGCATGGTCTTTTGGAGGGCCTTTAGATAGACTACCTAGCTTTCCTCCTATGTGTCTGGCTTAATATATCCCATGCTCCACCTTTTGACATTTCCTAGTGAAGACAAATGAACATAATTCTCTGTGTTAATTATTACTTTCTCCTTCTCAAATATTATCATCAAAATTTCACTCCTCTGATATCCAAGCATCACACGTATTAAGCATGGCCATCAACTCAAGTGACACTCACTTCTTAGTATTTTCTTTCATCAAATTATCATATTGTGTAAAATGCTGGAAGACATACACTGCCGTGGAAAGCAGGGTGTGCAAGTTTCTCAGAGGTGCTTTGGAAGGAAACTCCTTGTGTCTCTCTTGCAGTCTTGCCAGGACAGCTGTTGCCACTTTACAACAGGCCTCCACAAAGTTTGCTCTAATTTCCTGAAAAGAATCATCTCTGCATGCCAGAGCCAGTGGAAGCATTGTGTCAAGTTTTTCCATGATGTCAGAACAAAACTAGAGAGAAATAAATGTGGCACTGAGTTATTTGCACTCTGACAGCAGCATGTACTTTATGTATTGGGGAACCAAATTCCTAAATAATGAATTTGGCATCAAACATAAATATAATGACACAACTTCATAATAATAGATTTCTCAGTTGTAGAAAGCTAAGTGTTTTATGTCAGATAAGGAAATACCAAAATGATACTTCTCTACATATAACCTTCAAACGTTATGCTTACTGGACAGACATTATGAAAACTCGTGAAACAGCTTTACATGACAATACTTTAATTTGTAGTTAATAGAACTCAGAGAATATGTATCCTTAATACCAATATAATTTCCTTATTTTCATTTTTATTTTCTTTTGCTAAATGTTCATAAAAGGTTTTGATTGTTTTTTACTAATCACCACATACAAGTAAGGTTCTATTAGTTTAACTTCATCTAGAAGCATTAGAAACCATCTCATGTAGCATCTTCTTACTGGGTAAAGAGTCAGCAACTTTCAGAATTGATATGACTAGCTTTTCACTAATTGTTATGAATCTATTCAAATAGCAAAGGAGGTGTAGTGGACGGGAAGGTGAAGCTTGCCTCCACTCCAAGTTAACCAAAGTGTTCCCGGGAGAATGTTCTGGAGCCTCAGGGTGACAGTAGCAGAATAAGATTATCTTTAAGAACTCTCTTTTACAAACGTTTCAATCATAGGTTGCTGAACTCATTGTGGACTTAACACTGTGTAACTGTATTTATCTATTTGCATAATTACTTCCTCCTTTCTCAGTATGTTCTATGAATCTCAAAGCACAAGTAAAGGTGTCAGACTGATGCTAATGAAATGGGGTGTTCGTTAAGGTATAAATAAAGATTTAAAAGTTGCCCAAACCAATGGAACACAGTAGCTCCTCAAATTTTTCCTCAAGTCATTCAAGAGGAAAATGACACAAGCAGTTTTCCCAGTTCCCTGTGAACTCACATGGCCCCCCCTTCAGCTGCCTCAGACTCATGGAACAAGTTGGCAACAGGTTTATGTCCTTTTTGCTACAAGCAGTCCATGGACACCAGAGAAGAAAACTGGTATTGGGTACAGTACCAAGTATTTGCCAAGAGACTGCACCACTCTTCTGTAAGTTCCTTTTGCAATGCCTTATACTTAAAAAAAAAAAAAAATGGTATTGGGTACAGTACCAAGTATTTGCCAAGAGACTGCACCACTCTTCTGTAAGTTCCTTTTGCAATGCCTTATACTTAAAAAAAAAAAAAAATCTCATTATGCCAGTCCCACAGTTTGAAAGGATTTCATTTGATACATGCCTTTGCAGTTTTCTTTGGTTGGTCCTCCTCAGGAACCACATGGCTAGCTTGCCAAATTTGCTGAACATTTACAAGATTCATAGCATAGCTCTCAGTTGAACACCTTTCATTCTGTTCCTGTTGGAGAATTGTTGTAGAAAAATCTTCAACTACTGTGGTTATGCAATGTGCCAGAGGACGAGAAACTTCTTTAAATGCATTTCTCCAGCCAAAGTCTAGTAAAGTAGCCTGAAATACAAATTTATATGAAGGTATATTAATCTTAGTAGTAAGTGTTTCTATTGTTAAAGATATAAAATTATTACATTTATTCAGCATATTAAATATAGGTATTTTTAATAAACTGTAAAAGCTGTTCTTGTAACCTGAAAAATATTACCCAGAGAATAAAGCAATGTACAAAAACATGTGCCTTCTTTACACACAGTAATATACTGATATTTTATTTTAATTCATCAGTGTAGCTAATCAAAAACTTTTTTCAAAATTTAATCTCTTAAATATAGTTCAATAAAACCATCTTTATGAGAGCTGAAAGTTATACTTACTATTTATCACATAAAGCAACCTTTAAGTTCAGTGTACTTAATAAAGTCTAAATTATATTTTGATGGTCTTTTTTACAGTCTATTTTTAACAACTACTGCAACATAAGATAGCATTTAATATTCAATCTTTTATTTCTTTTCAAAGACAAGCCAAAAAAAGGCAATAAGAAATAAATTTCTCAGAGAAAATTCACCACTGCACCTTTCTAGATTTTTACTTCTTTAGAATTTAATTTAGTTTCTCCTCCCACAAAGGGCAAGTAGCCCTACTTTTCTTCCAGGAAATGAGGATTAAAATGATCTGCATTGTTCTGTTTGCAGGGAGTAGGGGAGGTTGGGATGGAGAATGATGTTTGTTTTCTTTTTTCTTTTGGTCTTTGGCTCATATGGCAATATATTTACGAATGCATATTCCCCTAAGTCCTCCAATGTTCCCTAAATACTGAAAACATTATGTGTAGTACTCTGAACCTATGCTTAGTACTAAACTTTCCCTGTTTTAATGTAATCTTGTTTACAGTAATAATTCACCTACCCAACTTCAGAAGACCTACTGCTCAATATCTCTGACTGAATTACTTGTTTTCCTAGATCTCGTTTTTTTTTGTCAGAAAAATACAAGACCTGAATTGGATGATATCTATGGTCTCAGTCTAAAATTACAGAGGTTATGATCATTAGCTTAATTTGCTTGTACACACATCCCACTCAGCATTAATTTAATGCTTTCTTGTGTAGACTATACCAAGTAATAAAGGTGATTCATCTTTCAGAGCTAAAATTCTGATTCCATGACTCTATAATCAGAAAAAGTGGCTCTCATTCTCATTAGGCTTATAATTAAGTTGTAATTGAACTTTCCTTTCTGAAGTTTCTTTGGACCTTTAACATCACACAGCCTGAAAACACATCTCTCGTCTTATTTTTACATAATTGATCAATAATTAATCTCATATAATTTTCTTTCTTATAAATGAAACTTAAGAAATGCCATGGGTATAGTCTATGCTATAATAGTATTTCCTTGGATACATTTTTGATAGAAATGTAAAAAAGAACCTACTAGCATGAAAATTAAAAATAAAAAAAACAGAACTCTGATTTGTTCTCCCCTCCATGGCATGTCTATTCATTTCATTTCATTCATTCATTCATGGAAATATGTTCTGATGAATATTGCCATCAATTATCATGGCAGCAGTGATGTGTGTGCGCAAAATTATTATCTTTGCCTGTGGTGACTTATATGTGATTATAATTTCTTGGTCCAATTGATTTCTCTTTTCAAAACCAAGCACATCAATAGCTCTCTTAAGGAGAAAACCGAAAGTCTTTCCTACTCAAATCTCCTCTGAGAAGTATGTTTATTTTCATGAAATATATTTTACTAACTTCTACTCTGCCCATATGATGTTTGGCTTATACATATTCCAGTTAGAATAGAAAACACTTGCTAGTTGATCCAAGAAGAAAGAGGGAATAATGTGGCTTTCTGTTCTGTGCACAACAGGTAGCACCTGTTGAATCCCTTACTTCTATTACTTAATGCTAATTTCTTAATACCTACTCTGATTTTTGGGTAAAGCATAATGTATTACTTTGCATTTTACTGATTATATCCCTTATTTTCTAAGTTTAAACTCTGTTAAGACTCTTATGTTTTCTTGTCTTTTTAAATGTTTACTTATTTTATAAGTCAAGATACATTCAGAAAACAGAAATCACTCTTGGTATGTCAAAGGAAGATTTTTAATGTAGAGTGTTTTATTAAGGTGTTGCCATTTGGAGGAGCCAAACACAGTTTGTAAAGCAAGACAGATATTAATATAGAAGGAAGTCCCTACCACTCTTAGGACTGGAAGAACAAAGAAAGGGGACTCTCTGTGGGAGTGTGGTTCTGGGAGCCACCAGTTAAAGCTTACAGTAAGGAAGACCTGCTAGTTGGAACTAGAACCATGGAGGAGGACCGTGTGGGGAGCAAGGCCCTTGGAGAAGAGCAAGCACAGCTACTGCTAAAGATGTTCCCTAAAACAAAGAATGGGGAAGAAATACTCTAGGTTCTCTCCAACTTCTACTCTTCATTCTTGCATTAAATGCCTTGTATTGGCCTTTCATTTGCCAAACATTCCTAGAATCCAGAAAGAAAGGAAGTCTAGAAGATGTAATTCTCTACAACACAGAACAGAGCAGGGCAAGAGTGGTAATGGATCTGAGAACAAACAGACACATCCTAGGTACAAGAAAATAAGAGAACAGTTCAAACTATTCTTTCCTCTCTCCTTTGCTTTTTAATCTCCATTTTCTTACATTACAACAATTATTTTAAAACCCATATTATCAAAGTGTAGATCCTGAGTTGGGATGAGAGCAAAGATCTCTTCACTGATACACCTCCCTATTCCTTACATAGAATAGATTGTGTACAACAGCTATGTCCCCACTAAATTCAATTTTCTTCAAAATTTGTAAGTCAATTTTCAACCCAGAATTATTTTTTAGTGGCAAAGGGTAAGAATGCAGGACATTTTGATTCATAAATATATTTAAAGATACGTGATGATATTATATATTAATTTAAAAAAATACCACATTTTTTACCCACCTCTTGTACTGGCAGCAATTGCTCTGAAGGGATACTGGTTTCATTTGCTTCAGGTTTCTCTATCACAACTTGTCTATTGAATGTCTCCAAAATTCCTATGCCATAGAAAGAAAAACACACACCCACAAACATACATTAACGAAAACAAACCATACTAGATGTAATTAATAGGCTCAGGTTAAAATTAATTATGTAGAAGAGCTCTATCTATAGTATATACACACTCATACCCACATAGCAAGATGCAAAGAACAGTCAACAAGTTGACAGGATCAAAATATATAGAGTCTTTTTCCACATATACAACTTAATGAAATTTATATGCTGTTATATCCATATTTGATGTGCATGGGTATATAATCTGTAAAATACAGATCATTTTGTTATTAAATCATTTTCATGTTGATAATGTAGGATAAGAGCACAACTTAAATATTAATTTCCTTGTTCATTTAAAAATTTAAATTCTGAAGTTCTACATTTAAAAACTGGTGATGTTCCTTAGCACATTAATACTTCTTTTATTAAAGCAAGGAAGAACAAAAGCACATGATAAACATCAGCATATTAGGAAAAATTATACTCATTTAATAAGTATATCAGTACTTCATTGGAAAAACATAAACACTGGGACAGATAAGAAGTAATCTCTAGCTCTTAAAATGGAAATATTTCCTCAACTTCTGTTTTTTTAGTATTATGGAACTCTTTTCCATGGGGAAAAGATATAGACCTACAAAAATGTAATAAATAAATATGCCAAAAAGAAGCTTTCCACTTTTCTACTGAGGTTCTATTAATTATAGTTTAATTTGATATGAATGAGTTGGCATTTATCTAAGTTTTTTCCTTGGACTTGATAAGTGATAATGAATTATACAGTATGATGTAACTTTTTTTTAATTTTAAGAATCTTAAGAGTTATTTTCTCACCTCAACACCCAAAAAACAAATTACCCGATTAAAAAAATGGGCAGAGGATCTGAACAGACACTTCTCCAAAAGAAGAAATTCAAATGGCCAATAGGCATATGAAAAGTTGCTCTGAATTGCTGATCATAATGGAAATGCATATTAAAACCACAATGAAATACCACCTCATACCAGTTAGGATGGCCAACATACAAAAGACAAGCACCAACAAATGCTGGTGAGGATGCAGAAAAAGGTGAACCCTCCTACACTGCTGGTGGAAATGTAAATTAGTTCAACCATTGTGGAAAGCAGTACGGAGGTTCCTCAAAAAATTAAATATAGAAATACCTTTTGACTCAGGAATTTCACTCATAGGAATTTACCCAAAGAAAACAAGATCACAGATTCAAAAAGACATATGCACCCTATGTTTAGCACAGCACCATTTACAGTAGCCAAGATATGGAAGCAACCTAAGTGTCCATCAGTAGATGAATGGATAAAGAAGAGGTGGTACATATACACAATGGAATACTATCCAGCCATAAGAAAGAAACAAATCCTACCATTTGCAACAACATGGATGGAGCTAGAGGGTATTATGCTCAGTGAAATAAGCCAGGTGGAGAAAGACAAGTACCAAATGACTTCACTCATTTGTGGAGTGTAACAACAAAGCAAAACTGAAGGAACAAAACAGCAGCAGACTCACAGACTCTAAGAAGGGACTAGTGGTTACAAAGGGGAGGGGTAGGTGGTAGGGAGAGGTGGTAGGGAGAAGGGAATTAAGGGGCATTATGATTAGCACACACAATATAAGTAGGTCACAGGGAAGGCAGTATAGCACGGAGAAGACAAATAATGATTCTATAGCATCTCACTACACTGATGGACAGTGACTGCAATGAGGTGGAGGTGGGAGAACTTGATAATATGCGTGAATGTTGAAGCCACGATGTTACTCATGTGAAACCTTCATAAGATTTTTTATCAATGATACCTTAATTTTAAAAAGACATTTTATGCTTAATGTCTGGGCAAACAAATTTCAAAATCTTATTTACGCCTCCTAGTAGGGCTTCTGACTGATACAGTCATCTAGAGGGTACATGGGTATTTTTGTTGTTGTTTTTTGTTTTTGATTTTTCATTTTTTCTATAAGCCTAATCATGAGTGATTCTACGTAAACATTCTCTAAATTCCAATTTGTAGGCTATACCAACATCCTTTTGAGAAATTTTATCAGAGTGCATTCTGAGGGAAAGTTTTACTCAGCTCCAGTGTTTCTTAGTCATCTTTCCTCCTCAGGGCAGCCTCTGATCTGAGGCCCTGATGAAAGTGACAGAACACTCCATCCAAAATGGACAGTATGACTGCTTGGTAGGTGTGTGTGCACATGCACCACACTCACACTCACAGACACAACTGGGGATCCTGAGGCTCTCTTGGAAAGAGCATTCGTGAATTTCAAGGGCCCACTGACTGTAGTGTAGGAATCCTGCTTCATCTCTCAACACACATTGCACCACAGAGAAGGTTTTAGATCAGTGTTAGACCACCTAACCTTTAAAATGCCTTCTTTATGGCTTGCATTTTATTATGCCTTTTTAAGAAGATGGCATTATAAATAAGGATCAGTTCTAACATTGATAAAATCCTGGTTATTCAAAGATTTTTAAGTAAATAAAAATGAAACTGCAAGGCTATTAAAAGAAAATATGGAATTCGTTTTTTTCCAAAAGATACATGTAGAGAGGACTTTTCAGGAAACAAAGTACAGAAGCCAGAAAACAACTCTGCATAACATAAAACAAACAAACAAACAAAAAGACTGCCTAAGAACCAATAGCAGTCGAAATAAACAGGACAAACTGACTTGGTACCCTCTCTCAAAAGGTCCATATCTTTTACAAAAATTGATAGACTTTAGTTTTTAGAGCAGTTTCAGCTTCTACAGGAAAAAATAAATAGAAAGTACAGTTTCTATATATACTCCCTCTCCCCCAGCCCTCAGTTTCCCCTTTTGTTAGCATTTTTTTTTGCCTTTTGTTAGCATTTTGCATTGGTGTGGTATATTTGTTACAAATGATGAACTGATATTGATAAATTATTATTAATCAAAAGTCCACAGTTGACATTAGGCCTCATTCTTTGTGTTGTGCATGTCTATGGGCTTTGCCAAATCATTATGTCATGTATCCACCATTACTTGAATCATATAGAATAATTTCACTGCTCTAAAAATCTCCTGTGGTCCACTAATTCACCTCTCCTTCCCTCTTTTCTTCTCTAGACAACCACTGATCTTCTTACTGTCTGTATACTTTACTTTTCACAGAATGTCATAGTATGTTGCCTTTCAGATTGGTGCCTTTCACTTAGCAATATGCAATGAAGATTCCTCCATTTTTTTCATGGCTTTGATGTCTCATTTCTTTCTTTTATTGAAGAATTGCCATTGTATTGATGTACCATGGTTTAATTTATCCATTCACCTACAGCAGAACATTTTGATTTCTTCCAAGTTTTGGCAGTTATGAATAAAGCTGCTATGAATATTTGTGTGTAGGTTTTGGCAGATAAAAGTTTTTAACTCATTTGCTTCAAATAACTAGGAGAATGATTACTGGATCATATAAGACAGTATTTAGCTTTGTAAAATACTACCAGACTGTCTTCCAAAGAGGCTATACTATCTTACATTCCTGTCAGCAATGAATGAGAGTTCCTCACCAGAACTGTGTGGTGCTACTTCAGATTTTAGCCATTCTCATAGATGTGCAGTGGATCTCCTTGTTTTAATTTGCATTTCTATGATGACATATGATGTTGAGCATCTTTACATATGCTTAGTTGTCATCTGTGTATCTTCTTTGGTAAGATGTCTGTTCAGATATTTTGCTCATTTTTTAATTGAGATTTTGTTTTTTTAATTGAATTTTAAGAGTATTTCATATACTTTGAATACAAGTCCTTTATCAGATATGAGTTCTGCAAACATTTTTCTCAGTCTGTGGCTTTTCTTTTCACCATCTTCATAAGGATACCTTTTTACCTGACAATTCTACTTTAGAAATTTACTGTCCAGACATGTGCACATATAAAACAGAGTTCAAGGAAATTTGCTGTATCGCTTGTGAGAGGAGAAAGACCACTAAATGTCCATCAATGAGTAACTGGTTAATTAGCGTTCATATGCCAATGGAAAATTCTTCAGTGTTAGAAAGAGTGAGTTGCCTTCATGTAACTCTTAATAAAAAATAATCTCTGCATAGTAAGACAAGATTTTGTATTACTTTAACACAAGGATATATATGGAAATAGTTGCCTCTGAAATTTAGGTAAACTAGACAACTGGAGTGGAAAAAAGACTTAATTTTCACCAGACATTCTTTTGTCCTATTTAAAAGTTTTACCATATGTGTGGACTACTATTAAAAAAAAATCTTTAAAGAAGAAAAAATAATAAAGATCAAGTTTTAATGGCATGAATGGACAACACTTTGTTTCTTAATGTCAGTTTACTTTTCTACAGATAGTTCATAAAACCAGCCAATTTAAAAGGTATTTACTCTGGAAAAATAACATTAGTTCAAAGCATAAGCTTTGCAGATCTGTTTAGGGAATGAACTGTCTGCCATTGTATAGCTATAGTTCTTAATTATCTTCTTTTATCATTAAAAAATTAATTATCTTCTATTTATCATTCCACTCCCAAATAAATTATGTTATTCACTCAAAGTAATGTGCTTTGATGTTTTTATAAACCATCTGCCTATTTGCAAGATGAGTAAGAAATAAACATAAGCTGCCCGAGATTTTTCTTGGTGATGAGCAATTCTACAGTAAAATAGCAAATGAGTTATCAAGCAATTATGATAACCTTTGTAATATAATCTTCCCCCCCAAAAAATTTAAAAGACTGTTAAAAAACCTAATTCTATACAGAAAAGCAAAAGGGATCATCTTAAGGAAAGATTAGTAACATGGAATCTAGACTAAGATGATATCTCATGGTTTTAATGAATGGTGGCATTTTTATATTTGTTTGGAATTCAAAATGGTCGATTTCAAAATTTGGCACTGCAAACTTTATGAGTTCTGTGAAAACTTAACCAATTATTTCACCTACTTATTCTATACACTTATTAGTATTGCCTGGAGCAGGTACCCATTTTTGGCTCATCACTCTAAACATAGTTATTTGCATGCAATCAACATTGATGTCTTTAAGAGTATGCCCAGATTAAGGACCTCAGTAGAGTGCAGAGGGTCACAGGAATGCCAGCTGCTGAAGAGTCTTCCCCTACAGAGTTCAGTGTGGTTCATTTTGCACTTCTGGTTAGTTTCCACACTGTCGCTATCTTTCATAGAGAGTAGAGGTTGGCAGCACTTCCCTATGACATCCACTTTCACACCCAAATTGGTCTTCATAGGCCCCCATTATGTGTACTACAAAGCAACTTGCCTTGTTGGCAGCTCGAAGTGGGAACTACGAGTCTCTCTTTTCTTCACTGTTCTTTTCTGGCTCACAAGCAACCTCCCACCACCAAACGCTGGATCTGTAGAAGAGACTACATCCAAGAGATAATACTATGAAAAAGTATGAAGAGAAACCCAGGTGGCCACCTTGCAAATTTCCAATGTGGAAGCCTTCGACCTCTCTGCCCAAGAAACAGCTAAAGTCCTAGTGTAATGAGCTTTACAAGCCCTAGGAGCCTCTTTACCTTAACTACATACGCCTCCCTAATACAATCCCTTAACCATCTAGCTAAGGAACTCTTAGAAGCCATTTGACCCCTCTTAAGACCCCCTAAGAGTACAAACAATCTTTCAGAAGATCTGAAATCTTTGATTCTTCTGAGACAAACCCTAAGTGTTCTTCTTACATCCAATTGAAGCAGCCATTGCTCTTTGTCATTGCTGGGGCTAAAGAAAAAATGAGGGCCAAGAAACCTCCTGGTTTAGATAAATCTCAGATGCCACCTTTGGAAAATTTTAGGAACTGCCCGAAGAACAACTTTATTCTAAAGGAGCATTAGAAGTGTCCCACAAATCAAACTCAAGGCCATTCCATAAGATACGATCACTTAAAAAAATACAGTAAGGCACCATAACAGACAAATAATATCCCATCATTTTCTGAAATGATCAAAATATAAAACCATCAAATCATGACCAAAAAAAGCAACTAAATATAATGACTAAATATCTTCTCTTTCTCAGAAAGTATTTCTTGTGGTTCTACAAAATCTATTGTGTCAGATTCAAATTACTAAGAGCACTGCCAATTTGGCTAAATCAACAATATAGCAGCAAACATAAAAGAAAAAAGTAAAATATTTGGTTAATCATCTTTATATTTTTTCTATGTGATGTTAAGCACCTGGATATTTTTTTAAACATCTGGACAATGAAAAAAAAAAAACACGTCACTTTTCAGCACATTGTTTTGGTTACACAGACATAGTAGACAACTCTTTCCGAGATCTTTAATAGCAAAATATGCTCTAATCAAAAGAAACACACAGGAAACCAAATGACTTGATTTTTCTCTTCATTTTCTCCCCCACAAGATTTCTAAGCCAAATATTAACTATCAGGATAACTTAAGACACATTTAGTTTCCTTAATCATCCATTTCAAGGAATCTTTTTCTTCTTGATTTAAAAAACCAATGCATTTGATAAGAACTGATTAATTCAGTTACACTGAATAAAATATTTAAGATTTTTCTTGACAATTTCCTTCAAGATCATTTTTTTCAGGAGGCCATTTACGTAAAGTTATGTCAGATCAAATCAATCTTGGCTTTGTTATGAAAAATATGAATTTCAACAACGAAGAAAAATTGGTATCACAAGGGGATGTTCTAGTATTTAGACACTTCTTATACCTGTTCTTCAAAATTCCTCCCACATGCTATGTTTCATTATCCACAAATGTACACTATGTACACTATTATTAATGTGATATTGAAGTTGCTTTTATCTGCCATGCTGCTTATATGATGACAAATTTTGGGTAAGGTAGTATATTGTGGCATAATTATATATTTTTTTCTGTTGATTTTGTTCAATAATGGTAACTACTGATCTCAAATATAAAGCATTCAAGAGTCTCAACATTGCTTGATCTTAATATAATGGGTTCAAATCAGCTTTTTCTTTTTCTTTTTATCTGAAATTAATATGTCAAAACTTACTTTAATTCTTGGCCATTTCAGTTTTATATATCTATGATATAACTGTAACACAATTCTAATTTTGAATGTATACAGTCTTTAAGAGAATACAGTTCTCAAAATCGACCTAATTTCTCTAGGGTCTGGGCTAGGACCAATGCAATATGAGCCTAAATGGGTAGGGGTCTAATGTGTTGGAGTCCAGTCTGTTTCTTGATCCACACCTCAGAAAGATCTGCTAGAGAAATGGGTGAGGGATGCCAAATCTTAGCCAAGTATGATGGACGAGTACGAACACCAAGTGTCAACTGCTCAAGGCATCAACATGTCAATCAAAATTAGGATGTCATATTTCTCTACTCAGATCTCTCTGATGCAGACAGTTCCACCTACAGGACCCTCTAGGGCTCACATTATCTCCAAATTGAATCTACTTTTTTATTCTCTTTTAATTTTCATATTTTCTGTCTTACATTTTCATTATTTCCCCATTGGGATTTTTGTCAGTTTTAGAAATCTGTAATCCACCTCCATTTTTCTTCAAATTATCTCCAACTTTGGAAAAATTATCTACATTATTTACTTTGTAATTTAGTATGCTACTTTAAACTTAATCTGACACGTAGAATGCCAGTAAGCTATGCTTAATATAAAACAAACTCCAGTCCTGTAACTTTTCTATTATTTACCTAGGCAAAGTAAATAGAAAAAATATAAAAGCAAACACATTAAAGTATATATAATTCCTTAAAAGAAACCAGGTTTTGAAATTTTCAGATTGATTGTTTTGCAAATGCAGCAACTATTCTAAATTTATTCTCTTTAAAATGATACATGGTAGTGTGTAAAAGAAAACTTTGTTTCATTCACTCTGTTATAGTTGAAAATCTCAGCAAGTATAGATATGAACAGAGTACGTAACTATATCTTCAAATTCTACTTTTAATGTCAGAAATATTACTTCAACACACATCGAACAGCTTTCTTCAAAACGATTTTGTTAAGACTAAACTACAAATAATGTAGAATTATAATTACTACTGTAACAACCTACTTCATTCATTATTTATGATATGCTAGAGATAAAACATTGTTTTAAATGCTTTACAAACACTCAATGATTTAGTTCTCACTACCCTACAAAACACATTGGAATCTCAAGTATCTAATCATTAAAGAAAACAGAGAATATTAGTTCAGTTCTACACCACAGTTTTGGAGACGAAGAAACTAAAATATAAGGAACTAAATATTTTGCTCAAGGTCATCTGGCTACAAGCAGCAGAAATGAGCTCTTAGATGATTCAGTCTGCTTGTTCTTTACACAGGTCAGGCTGTGTTTCTTTAAATTAAAAAATACATACATATATAGATATATGTATGAGATTTTGGCTAAAGATAGTTATTCAGAACTGACTTATGATGTTTTGTCAAATGAAATCATGGAATTTTCCATGCATAAATGATAAAAATGTAATTCTATGTTATGCATTATACTTAATGTTTAAAAAATCTATCATGTAATTTTTTTTTCAGGTAATGATATAGATTCAGTGGCAGGAGGGGAAAAAAGAGAGAGGTATAGATTTACAAATTAAAAAAAAAGAACATTACCTGAAGTATTCCTGAGTGATAAAAACAGTTCTTCAAACAATTCTTGAACATTTTTTTCCAGCTTCAAAAAGGATTTTATGAGCTGTGACAAGAATTTGAGTTCATCTAAAGAGAGGGAAAAGTTTCCTTTCTGTGGACATTCAGGAGTAACTGAAAAGAGAAAAATGAATAGTGTTGTACATTTTGTTTGTTTTCTCAGTAAATACTAGGATGATCTATGTGATTCTATAAACCATTAGAACTAACAAGATCCTCAATAATTAAACCAAGTTTGTTCTTTAAGAAATACATACAAAATCTCCTAGGAGAGTCTTTTTCTGGGAAGCTGGAGTATTCTGTTTGATGCAAATATGACAAATAATACTATTGGTTCTCAGAGTTGTAAACAGGAATATAATTCTGTTTTGTAAATCACACCTTACACAATTCTATTTTTTATAAGTCTGGCGTAACTTGAATCTAGTCATGAAGAAACATCAGACAAACCCAAATTGATGGACATTCTACAAAATAGCTAATCCCACTATTTTAATATGATAGAAAAATAGCTGGTCTATAGTCTTCAAAAGTGTGTGTCACAAAACACCAAGATTAGGATACACGATCAGTCTTTTATTTTATTTTACTATAAAGGATATCATTGGGGTAATTTGGTAAAATGTAAGGTTTACAATCCAATGCTATTATTGCATGACTGTTAATTTTCTGATTTAGACAATTATACTGTGGTTGTGAAAGACAATGCCCTTGTTTTTAAGAAATACACATTGAAATATATAAAGATAAATGTCTGCAACCTAGTCTCAGTTCAGGAAAAAAGGTTTTGAAAAAGAGAATGCAACTATAGCAATGTGGTGAAATATTAACATTTGAAAATCTGAATGTTTTTGTAAGTCTGAAATTAAAATAAAAATGTAAAATAAAAAAGACTAGATAAAGGACATGCCTTTAAAACTTTAGAAGTGTTGCTTCTGCATCATGAAAAAGAAGCAAATTAACTTAGTTGTTGAGTCTACACTATATAGTTCATGAAATATTGTTTTAAAATAACTTCTAAGTAATTGATATTTATTACTTTCATTAAGAACAATACAACTTAAGATAAAGGTTCATGTCTTTGCTTTTATAATTATGTTACTTACAAAATCAAACTACTGTTTTAATAGAAAAATATCTTACACTCTTTAGGAGTATGGAGAATAAGGCTGAACTCACCAATGGCACTTTTGACCAAGTTTTCCAGGGTTTAAAGAATCTTTCTTTTATTATTGCCACTTCTTAAAACAAGTATTTAAGACATGTCTTGAGGTTTAATTACAAACTGGAAAATTTGTACTCTTATAGAGTATACATAAAATGCCTTGGGAAAGAAAACACTGAGACTGTTACTTAAAATAGAGTAAGGCCAGTGATTCCTTGTGAAAAAAGATTAACTTTATGACATGGATTTAGAAGGAAGATTCCAGAAAAGTAACAATTCCCTTCAGTTAAAACTTAAAATGTTGGCATCAAACTTGTAGCATGTGATACAGTTTTTCACTGAGGATAAAATAATGTCATGGTATCTTTGCAGATAATATGAAAGAAACCTGTCAACCAACTTAAACTGTGGAATTTAGTTTTCAAACAATAAAAGAAAATGCTTCAAAAATCTACAAGTACCTATAAAAACCATTTCATCTCTGAACGGATGCTATCCCTGCATACATTAAAGTCTGTCTTCAAACAGCCTTACTCACACCTACCATTCCTCTAAAGGCACAGAGAATATAACCATAAACAACCAGGACATCTACATGAGTGACATTTTGTCACTAACATTATGACCCAAAACTAAAAAGAGAATAAATACATTACAATCCAATTAGCCATTGCTTGATTTTCATTTGGCCTGTTTACATTTTGCTCATGGAGATGGAGGTGCTGGTTTAACCTCCTAAATCTTAAGTGTTCCTTATGTAACTAAACGTTTATTAAGTCAAATTTTCAAATATTTTAAGGGTCCTTTCTAAGTCTTTAATAGTTTGACTAAAAATTAAACATATTTAAGAAGGCTTTGTATAGCTCAGATCTAAATTAGAGGTATTGTGAATGCTTATAAAGTAAGCCAGATGCATCTTCCCCAACCAAAAAAACAGTCTTTATGAGTCAAAACACTATAACCTATCAGTGCTACTTATTTAAAAATTATGTAGGGTCTGAGGATTCTACCTGAAGAGGTCTTACTTTGACGACCTAGATTTAGAAAGATCTTGTATTACAGAAATTTAACAATATTGAAGGGCAAATCTATTTCAATCCAATGCATCTTTATAACTTAATAATGAAAGAGGACAGAAAAATATGTATGACCTAAATCTAATCATTATTGTCCCAAGAAGCAGTGATTATGGTAGAGGTCCATTAATTAGTAGTTCTTGTTTCCTATTACTTATTACCTCAGTGTTCTCCCATGAGGTATTGTGAGGGTTCTTAATTTACAGGGAAAATAATTCTGTGAAAAATTCATTTCATAGAAGTCCAATTAAAGCAAAATTAAACACAAAGGATGAAATAGCATTTTCCATACTTGTCTTATTTTCTTCACAGTCACCTTAGCTCATGATTTGTATCTGCCTAAGCATATTTGTTTTTCTATTCCTTAGACCCTTCACTGTTAACCACCAAATCAGTAAAGGGTTTCACCAGCAGAGATTCCTTTTATTTTGTCTTCACTAAATTAATTTCTCCTCCTTTCAAGATTCTGTTTGTTCTCTTCTCCATGCCACCTCTCCAGAAAACCTTATCTGAATATAGTCAATCCAAGAGTTCTCTTTCCCCGTCTAAGCCAATCTGGCCTTCGGCGTTTTTTTTTAATCACTATGGAAATGTCTTGCTTCAAGAAACTTTGGACATACAAGTACTATACACAAGCAATTATGCTTAGCTGGCTACCCTTTATTGCTATAAAATATCTGAAGTAGTGATTGTTGCTTTATTATAGGATGAGCTCCATGATTCTCAGGAAATACAAATTTCTTCTAAATCCTAATAATATTTTTTTTTAAGTTGTATTTCCATTTTAGAGCAAGACTTCAATTTACCATCAACTAACAATGAACAAGTTCATGTTACTAATAACTAGATAGTTGAGGTGTTTTCTCTATACATAATTTTAATAAAAATATTTCTAAAATACAATAGAAAATTATTTGCTTTTCCATTAAAGTACTTAGAACACAATTTAAATTTTTCTTCATGACAATGTTATGATACAAGTTACTTATTATTATGCTGTACTCAGGGACCAGTGTCTGTCCCTCTGTTTAAGGGCATTTGAAAAGGTTGCTATAATCAAATAGTTTTGGGAATTACTACATACCAAATACTACTTAAAGTGATTCACAACACAAATTAGCACATTAAAGTCTCTGTTTACATCTAAAATTTTGGGAAAATTTTTAAAACAGCGTTTCTCAAACTTCTTTGACAAATGAACATCAGTGTTCAAACACTTCTATTAACTTTTGGGATTTTCTAAAAAAACAACTGTTTAGGGGACACTGCTCTGGATTACAGCTGACTGCTTGAATATCTGCTTTATAGTGTTTCCTCCCATTGGTAGATCTTTTGCGCTGGGTTCCTGTTACTGGTAGTGTAACTGATTTTACCAGTATTCGCTTCCACTTGAAAACTATTGCTCCTAGCAGCATCATGGCATTTTGCAGAACCCTTTGAGAAACTAATCAAAGTCTCCTAAGTCCCCATCAACCCTCTCATTTGAAGAAATCCAGGTAGTCACAGTTTCAGGGCTAAAGAGACCCACGTGAAGTTCATGGCTCACTTAGGGTAGTGTGGCCAGGATTTTCTGAATTATTAAATATTCCTAGGACATCCGATTCTGTCTATACAAATGCCCCAAGTGAGTTTTCTGTACACTAGAATTTGAGAACACTGCCTGAGGGACCATGAGCTCTAGCCAAAACTCTTGTAGTTGAAAATTATTCTCTAGACATAAGAAAATTTGGAGATTTCAGTCTCAGCAAGTAAACCTAAGAGGTGTTATTGGGCAAAATATTAGGTCAAAAATGAAAATAAAACTTTATTGTTTTGATGGTCAAGAATTTTTTTTTTTAATTTCTGGAAGAAATATGGAAAACACCTATAGGAAATTTCTAAGAGCATATCCTACACATTTGCCTAGTCAGAAGAACTGCCCCTAGAAACACACCTAAAGGATAGTTGGAATGTTTGAGGCACATTCATGACAAATATGAAATGATATCCCTGAGGTCAGATACTATGTCCAGTTTATTTGCCACAGTAGCTCAAGAACCCCTAATTTCTTACACAAAGTTGGCACTCAGAAAAACTGGTTAAAGAATAAATGTATGAAATCCCTTGGGTCCTAGAAAGAGCTAGGTTTGGCCCAGAACAAAGATTTTATACCTATTCCTAATTTGTACTCCTCAAAACAATAAATATTTATAGATGGAAGTCAATAAACAGATAAGCAAAGAAATACATAAATTTTGCATCCATTGACAAGATCTGTCATCATGATCTGAAGACAGGTATACATATGGAGAGAAAAGTCCTGACGCGCTCTCTACCAACAGTGTGGCTTTGGACAGTTACATACATTCCTTTTAGTATTCTGTTTGACAAAAGAGGCTTGAAGGTAATTTATAAAACAGAAAATGTATGCAAAAGGATATAAAATCAATGATGAGCTGGTAATTTGGTAAAGCAATTGACTCTAAAATATAATTTTTTTTGTGTGTAAAAAAACTAAAATCATATCTTAGAAAAAAAATTTCACCATGAAAAAAAGATATTCATAGAACTACTGTCCTAAAATAAAAATTTAAAAATGGAAACTCTCCTATCTTCCTCTCTCTCTTCTCCATCTCTTTCTATACAGATAGATACATACATACATACATACAGACATACCACTCATAGCAACTATAGACGATATACTTAGAGGAGATTTTTACCTAGTGACTAATAGTTAAAAAATTAACTCTGTTCTCTTGTAGCAAAATTAAGAACATTGAAAAAATATAAAAGGACATTAGGGCTCCTCACATTTGATCCACAACAAAGCAGTATTTGGAATAATTATCAAAGCCTAGCTAAATCAGACAAACCATAAAAATACGGGTAGT